AGTAGACAAACTGTCAATTGGCAGACGAATCGACCGTGTTTAGACGAGAGTGGTAGACAATTTGTGATGACACAAGTGTCAATGTTACTTCACAATTTGGTTTTGGAAACAATTGCAGATTCATAAATGTCACATAAATCGGCCGGGCTCTTGGCTTTCAGTTTTGCGCTGGTTTACCTGCATTCCATGTCTTAACCGGCTGTTATTTTACACCAGCTTTTTACAAAAAAGGTAAGAAACCTTTGTCGATTTCAATGGGCAACGAAAAGTTTGAAAAAGATTTTGCAGACTTGGCGAATCCTTCTTTGGTTGCCGACACTGCACCAATAATCGAAGAATTTGTATGCCGTTTGTATGCAACAACCAAAAATAAGTTATCCAAAGTCTCAAGATATTTGAAACACATTATGGAGTGATAGATGACATGGAGTCTTTTAAGAAACAAGTTACATCGTTTGACGCATCCAATCTACCACCATGTGCCAGAGAGTTACAGTAACAAATTTAAAGAACAGCATATATATCAAACATGTGGACCAATTCTTTAAAAAAAAATCATCTCAATTTGACGCATTAAATTATGGCTGGTGTCACAGTAATAATATGGACAGCATACATTTAACATGTTCGAAGGACCTTATACGCCTGAAAACATTCAAGAAAATTATATTAACATCTGCAGGTACGTCAGTATTTAAGAAATTATGAGAGCTCAAAGAAATGAAAACCCAGCATGAAAATATCGAAAATACTATCTTACGTAATCAATCGAAATTAAATAAATGTAGTAGCATATATTCACGTATCGTTTAAATAATTTTGCTTTTTTTTCATTCTTTGAACCGTATCACGAAAATTGATTATTAGATTGCTACCTAACTTTTTGTTGTAGATCCCACTGAATTTGCTCAGCTCAATGATGAGGAAGTTGCGGATTTGAGAAATGAAAATATTGCTGAAGATCATGATGATGATGATGATTCAGAAGGCAGTATAACGAGCCACATTAGCGTTGATTTGAATATTTCTCAAGAAACCATTGAATCAGATGGAAGTTATTTAGTTTTCAAGTCGATATTGGAATAAAAATATTGCTTATGTATTTCTAAACCTCGTACATTTATTCCCACATCATCAAAACAATTGTTGAAAAAAATGGTAATAGAAGTTGTGTTGTTTTAAAGGTGTTCTTAACTCAAATTGATGAGAATCTCTCATGAAGTAAAATTCAAACTTGTGTCATAAAAATTTGTCTACCACTCTCGTCTAAACACGGTCTATTCGTCTGCCAATTGACAGTTCGTCTATTCAATAACTATATATTGCAAAGAAACGATAGCTGATGGTAAAACTTTGGTCAAAGTTATAATTTTTTTTAACAAATGAAAAAATATTTTTTTCAGTTGTATAAACATGGTCAATTCGTCTGTCAATTGACAATTCGTCTACTTAATATTCACATATATTGCAAGGAAACAATGGAAAACGGTAAAATGTTGGTAAAAGATATTAATTTTTTTGCAAGTTCATTCGCGTCTACCTATACTCAAAACATTACCATTTTGTCTGCCAACAGTTGTCCCAGGACATTTTAATTATGGAACTTTATTAAATCCAAGAGGTAGATGGTAAAAAATGGTTCAGAGACACTGTATAAAAAAATTGTTAATCAACTAATGCCTATGACATATCAATACACCGGCAAACCGTCTGTCTTGTGAAAATTCGTTCATTTCATGCTACTGTTAGTCTACGCTGTGCTTGTCAGACGGCATTTGTATCGCCAACAGCATATGCAGGAATAACTTCTGTGAAGAATCCTGCACTGACACCTGTCGGATATAATCCAGGAGTAGTTGTTTTCTGAGAGGTGCCAGTCCATTAACCTACCGTGTAGGGAGTTGAGACTGGCCTGAACGAATTGTTCTTAGATAATTTGATTTATAGCCAGTTTTCATGTATGCCCACTGACTATATATGAAAATAATATGTATGTTGAAACAAAAGAGAAATTGAAACAATTTTTCATAGCCGCCCTCTAATCTTCTGATCTTCCATATGTGATGAAGCAAAATCTAACTGTATTCTGAATGTGATCCTGTTAGATGAACAATAATTTTTATTTCGAATTAGCTTATTTGTTTTCATTGTTTATTTGATATGTATAAAAGTTAGCTTATGCTAGCTTATTTCTATTATTATCCTCAATGTATAGTTTCACAAAAGTTCAGTTTCAATTTTTCTGTTTGAATTAGAGATAACTGTGTTACTATAAAATTCATAAAAAGGCATAAAAGATTATTGTTACTTTCAAATATGCAAGAAAAGCTACAGAAAAGCTACAGCTACATTTTTACTTTCTATAATTCAATTTACACCAACGGTAAGTTATTATTATCATCACATTAACTCGATACTACTGAGAATGTGGCTTTGAGAGACCAAAGTTTTCGGGTGGCTATACAGAATGGGCTGTAGAAGACGAACTACAAAGCGTAGCTGCTACGAAAAAACCTTTTGCCATATAGGGTGTGCCATTTTGATGGCACACCCTATAATTCACCTCAGTTTTGATTTTTTTTATGATTTGAATTTTAACTTATGTATTATACCGTTTTTGAGTAATTCGATTTTTTTTTAGAAAAAGTAACAGATGCAGCTTTTTGAACATACCTCATTTTTCTGTACATTGATATTGAAAAAAATATGCATTGAGTGATCCGTGAATATTGAAGGTTGGGGAATGGGAAGCGACGTCATCTTTGTTATTTTGATGGCATACTCTATATTTCATCTCAGTTTTGATTTTTTTTTATGATTCAACTTTTAACTTATGTATCATACCGTTTTTGAGTTGGTCGAGTTTTTTTAGAAAAAGTAACAGATGCAGCCTCTCGAACATAGGTTATTTTTCTGTACATTAATATTTTAAAAAATATGCAGTGAGTGAATGGTGAATATTGAAGGTTGAAAAAATCACATGCCATTTTCACATCTACTGAATAATGCACAGGGTGCACAAAATTGGGGGTTCAATGAGTGAATGGGAAAAATGAAAAATCTTACTCTTTCAAATGAAATCTCCTTTTTTCCTTCGAAGTTCAACCCTACTATGAAATAGTTATAATACACTTCCCGATACTCAAAACTCATAATTTATTGATGACTTATGGCGAATGTATCAAGGTTTTGAGAAAAACATGTGATATTTGTGCTACAAGGTATCCAGAAAAACAGAAACCATCTCCAGATATCATTAGAAGGTCAATTTCCAATCTCACAAACTTTGGATCATTCAAAAGGAAAATTATTGAAAGTTAAACGGTGGTGGACGATGTAGATAATGCAGCTTTTCCATGCAGAAGCATCTTTGAAAGATTCTGCACGAGATTTGGAGAGAATATTAGCAAAACATCTTTATTCCCATACTTCAGTCCATGGCCTGAAGCTACCCGATTATGAGAGAATGAATTAACTTTGCGATGTTTTTCATTATGAGAAATCAAGAAAACGACCAATTTTTGAGGAATACTCATATTATAGGAAGCGACGAAGCGAAATTTACCAAAAATACAATATCTACTGGAGCGATACAAATCCGAATTCAGTTCGGAAAAGTCAATCTCAAGACCGTTGAAATATCAATATTAACTGTTCTGTAACAGACAACGCCATAGTAATGGTTCAATTTTATGATGAAAATTCGAATGGTTAGTTGGAAAGTATCGGAATATATTAATTTACTGAATAAAAAAGAATAAAACACATCACTCGGGAAAATGTCATCCTGGTAGCTATGTAATAAGCATTCCTAGTATGTAGGAAATACATAACAGACATACAGATATTTTTATTTTCAGGTGAACGATACCTAGATATTTTGAAAAATCTCGATACGGATCATTTAGAACGACTGACGACTGACCATAGAAAAATTTTGTATCAACATGATGGAACAACTTCACATAATCAGCAGATGGTGAAGATGTATTTGAATGGAACTTTTTATAACCAATGGTTTGGAACTGGTGGTCCTCAATTATGGCCACCTTGATCGCCCGATTTAACTCCAATAAATTTTTTCATTTTGGAGAAAAACGAGGTGTATTCTCATATGCCTACAACAAAAGAATATTTTCAGCAGAGAGTTCGTACTGCTCTCAAAGTCATACGGGGAAGTGAAAAATGCTTGGGAATTGGGGGCAATATATTTGAAATTGTTGTTTATTCTGATCATGATTTTTGTCTTGGATATGAGTTTATTTTTCCATGAGATATGTGATGAAAACACGGCAACAGTAAAATATTATCAACACAATTGGGGGGGTAAAAACATAAATCCTCGCGTGAAAATAACTTCTATAGCGGAATATCTCCAACATTATAAGTTTTGAGTATATAAGTTTATATTGGGGGGGGCGGTTGAAAACGTAAATCCACATTAACTCCTCAAGATATACCCTGTATATTAGAACGTTGAAGCATCAATGAGAATAGGTAGATGTTTCTTGAATCATTTTCTCATGAATTTTTGTATTTCAGTTTAGATAGCCAACATCAAAACGAATTGGATATATACAAGAGTGATAGCGAGAAGCTAAAAGAGCTAGGAAAAGATGAGGTGATTTCTTTGAGACAGCTCATCAGTGAACAAAAAATGGAACTCAGTGGCCGTTTGGAGGCTGACATTCGGAAAGTTGTGAAAGAAAAAGATGATAAAATTCATGAACTCACGATAAAACTACGACACTTAAGCTAATGTTTTAGCGAAACATGTTATGATTATTTTCAATAAAGTTAGTGGAGATCAAATCGTTTAAGTGTAGTTTGTGAAATTACTATGGATCTTCATCAAGTAACGGCCGAATCAATCACAAAATATAGTTATTCTGGTGAACTATGAAAAATCAATCAATTTCTGTGAATTATTAATAACAATCGATTCTTCAGAGAGTATTAATGACAATGATTCCGGGGAAAGTTTTATTGGGAATGATGGTAATGCATATCACCGTGTAACCTATTCTATCAACTAGCCAAAACTATCAATTGATGTCGTGAAAGAATGTGACGTCTATTAATGATATGACTTATATTGATGGATAGATAGCTCTCTGCATATTGCGAATTGAACAAAACAGGTTTATAGGGAGCGTAGAGACTACTGGCTGACACTCTGGAAGGTACGGTATACTAGAAGAAATCTGTGACCCAATGTCTCTAACGAAAACTGAAAATCACACAAGGTCAGTTTGATTAGACAAAAGTTTTCCATTTCAGGAACTGAAATAATCCCTTTTCAGATCATGAATATCAGTAACTTTAGTTTTTTGGCATTTCGACAGAACATTCAAATATAATTTCCCTGTCAGAGATGTCTCAAAAAGTGCTAGATATCTATAACCTTGGTGTCTAGCACACCAGGCGAAACAATAACAAGCGACAATACAAATAATTTTTTTTCGCCAGTGATAATGGATATTTATGTTGAAATATCCGTTATTTATGAATCTACTATCATCACACTATGAAATTTGATCACAGATTCCATATCCCTGACGATATTGTCTGAGTAGCCATCTACAAGATATTTTTTCTATCATAGCCAGTTAAACGCAAATGCTGGATTTTTCTGACTTTGTAAGATCTGAATTAATTTCTCTATAAATTTTTTTGAACTGACGTTAGACATAGCAATCTCTCTCAATTATACTTCTTTGTTTTCAATTCCCTGAATTGAATAAATACAACTTCGTTATTACTTGAGAATGATTTCTGTCTTTAAAAGGAAACACGATTTCGTAAACTCCCTTCAGTGATATCAAAAATCATGGAGAAAGCCGTAAACCACCGTATCTTCAAATATTTGGAAGGCTTTAACATCTTGAGCGATCATCAATATGGCTTTCGGAAACGAAGATCAACAGGCAACCTTCTATCGTATGTCATCTATATTTAGAATAACGCAAACTTCGATTCCACCAAGAGCGGTATATCAGAAATACGCGACGAATTGTGGCTGCTCATTGTTTTGAGGGTCAGCTACACCTCAAACTTCACTGTTCAAGAACTCTTCCATTTGGAGAACCGCGTTTATATGGAATGAACTCCCTAAGAATGTTTCTCCCAATGGATTTGATCTCCAACGATTTAAATTCAATGTGAATCGCTACTCTCGCATAGGCACCATTCTTAGAGCGTCTTAAGGATCTTTCTGTAGTGCTTGTGGTTTGGATTTTTTTAATGGCTGGCGTCTCTCAGGGTAGAATTATCTATACAAAGCTGGAGAACCAGTAGCATTTGTCAGCGTACACAAGAAGTATAATAACTTTCTTGTCATTAGAAAAATCAAGGCGTTCTCCTCACAAATTCACACAAATCGAATGCTAATTTACGCGCTTGACAGTAAATATCAGGTATACATATTGTGTTAATTCATAGCTCACGTTTAACAAAGTAATTAATTTCATGAATATTTTCTCCATCACACTATTTTCATTTGCCAGAAAACATCAGAAACAAACCTTTCATAAAAATTGGCTTCTGAACAGTTTTACCATATTCATACAATACCCCTGAAATGCATGGACGTTCATTATCACTTGCGAATTTTCAAAAGATGTGTGGATGTGTGGAGTTTGAGTTCTAATATATTGGTTTCTACCTTTCTGAGACTACACAAATATTGTTGATGTTCATCCGGAGACAAACGTCGGGGAACACATGTATTTTTATACAAAGTATATCAAGTATAATAAAACATTATTGAAAGTTCCTCTGCCTTTTTTTAAATCATCAGAGGTGAAGGCGCCAAAAAACGGAATTCGACAGTTCAAGTTTTTGGCGAATACTTTAAAAACAACCACTGATATCCTCGATCTGAAAAAAGGTTATTCTATTTCCTCAAAATAGAAAACTTTTTTCCAAAGTCACCAATTTTGTAGGTCTTAGCGTTTCTCAATAGTGGAATCAGCAAAAAAAAACCTGTATAGTCCTTATTCAGAGTAGAGATAACTGGATTATTCGAAAGGAGAAAATACTAAGAGCAGATAACCATTGGCTCACAGATGGGACGGGAGCTGGAATATACCCTGTTACCCGCTCAGTTAGCCGCTCGGTCAGTACACATCTGTCTGATATGCAATGTCAATGTCAATCTTGCAATGTGCAAGACATTAATTCGAAGCCTTGACACGATAAATAAGTCAATATTTCCACAGACAGCAACTCTATTCAAAATTGACATCGAGACTGATCTGGAAATGCCATGAGGAGTTGGGTAGACTGATTGCGTGCCAGAACACTCAAGTGTCATGGGTAATGAAACAGCTGACGGGTGTGCCAGATACGGATCCACAACTCCATATATAGGCCCCGAACCAGCTGTTGCGTTACCAAAATCTTTCGAACAGAACCAGAAATAGGTCTATAAGTAAAAAACAGTACTGGAAAAACAAACTTGAAAAAACACACGATTAAACCTTTGTCCATCTGAAGAGAACCAAAGAACTGCTAACAAAGCAGGGATTTGCTCAAAACAATAACAGAGGTACTCACCGGACAGTGTCCATTAGGACGATACCTGAACAAAATAGAGCAGAAAAGAAAGACCTTAGCTGCAGGACGGAAAAAGGGAGAGGAATAGAGACAGGAACAGCGATAAATCGTCATATCTTATTCAAATGTGAGACAAATAAGAGTCAAACAATTTATGAACAGCTCAAATTATTTCCAGATGAATATGACAAACATCCAACCAGCTGTGTTGCCTTTTGGCGGATAATTATCCATATTATGGAATAGGCATCATAAAAAAGATGGGGAAAAACGCAAAAAGTTCTTGATGCTGCAGTCTTTTCCGGTGACTTGAAAGAAATGGACAAGTTCCAGGAAACGAAAAAAATGTCTCCAATAGTCAACTATGACCTGCCTTATATAGTCCTAACTCCAAACAGTGAGTACTAGATTATCTGAAAAGAAGAGATACTGAGAGCAGATAGCTATTGGTTCACAGATGAATTAAAAATTCCTTCAGGTTCTGATGAAGGTATATGAAATCGCGAACCCTGTACAGAGATACCAACCTGCCTAGGGACGTATAAGATCGTATTCAAGATGAAACTGTAGACAAGTGTGTGAGGGATTTGCAGAAACCAAACTCGCACATTAATAATTAAAAGTATTCTGAGGTAGCCAATGTGCGCTCTATAAAAATTTGGCTGCAGGTGGTGTCAGAACCACTTCAATATTGGTCAAATTTACATTCAGGACTCCAATAAGGGTTTCAAACTCCTGGCAAGGATTGACCTTATTTCTCGAAATATGTTCCCGACAGTTTTTGTAATAGAGCAGGGTTGATCTATGATGTTTTATAGGCATTCTTATAGGTCACTATCATCTGAATCATCTTATGAAGAGATTTAGAGTATCGGAAAACAGTGCATGCTAAACATTCAAAACTGTCCCAGGAAATTTTGTCAAACTCAAATTTAGAAGTTGTTACTAAATTAAACACATTTTCTTGACATTCTGTCTTTTAAATTTTGGACAACCCATATTTCATTATATTATTTACATTTTGAATAGAATATTCAGTATTTTTCACTTTTGAAATATTCAGACCAAACACAGCTAGAAGCGACAAATCGAATAAGAGCATGAAAGATCAACTCCAGAAAAAAATCACTACTCAGGAAAATGAACTGGCTAAATTGAAAGAAACTCTTGCGGAACAAATAGCTATCAATGAAACTCACAGAATTCAGGCAAACGAAGATTTTTATAAATGGAAAAAAATGAAATATTGGCAACAAAATGCTGAAAAACTAAAAAACAAACTCGCAGAAAGAGACGCCGAATTCGAAAAGCTGCAACATACAACTACAGGTTATAGAATGCTTATAGAGAGGTTAGAACGAGAAAAGCACAATCTAGAGAATAGAATCAAGATTTTAAAAAGTACAAACGTGAACATTCCTAATTTTAAAGAATTAGAAATCCTGAGAATTGAGAATATGAAATTGAAGGCTGATGTGGAAGCTATGAATTCCAAGTTAGAAATGCAGCAACATCATTCAGGAGGACTAGGAGCTGCCATGATGCAAGAAAAGCTAGAGAGCCAGGAAAGGAAAATTGCGATACTGGAAGTAGCTGCAAAGGTGAGTGGACTTTGATTTTTTAGTAATATGTACAACGAATTGAAGTGGATCAATTTGATTTTAAGTTTTCGAAATGAGTAATTTTTATCGAATGGAATGTCGATTTTTTTAATAACTCCATGACTTCGAAAGAGAAGCGTTTAATATAAGTTCGATATCAAACCGTGTCTGAAGACTGTATCGAGGAGAGATAATACGTACAAGAAAATGAATATGTATCATCGATAGATGTGTAACGCAGGACTCGATACAATATAAGCGTAACCTCTCTATGGCCTGGATCGATAACCGTAAGGCATTTGATACGATTTCGCATGAGCTCATCTCGCTCAGATACCTTGCTCATCTTGTCGGGTACCGCAAGGTACCCGACAAAATAGTGAGATGCATTGAACAACTGATACAACTTTGGCGAACTCGCTTCACCATAACATCTGGTCAAGCAAGAGTCCAAACAGGGTGGGTCAATTTCGGAAGGGGTGTATTTCAGGGTGATTCTCTCAGTCCCCCTCTCCTCTGCATCTCACTATTGCCATTATCCGTTGCGCTCAGAAATACTAGAGGGTGTAACTGTGGCACCCCCGGAAACCGGAGGCACAAGGTCACCCATCGGTTTTATATGGATAATCCTAAACTTTATGCCTCTGGAGAGAAGGATCTCAATCAGTCCTTGAGGGTGGTGGAAGAGTACACGCATTCTATCGGTATGAAATTCGGGATAGAAAAATGTGCAATGGTCCATCTCAAAAGAGGACGATACGGGGTCTACGGAGAGGATGTGCAGCTCGTAGATGGAAGCATCCTACACCATCTGGATACCGGAGAGACATATACTTACCTCGAGGTAGAACAATGCCACTCACAAGAGGTAACTGCAGTGAAAATCTCTCTCCGTGGCAAGTATCAGCACAAACTTCGACAGATCTGGTCATCGGAACTGTCGGAAAGAACAAAGTTGCTGCAACAAACATGCTTGCCGTTCCAATCTTACTCTACTCGTTTGGAGTAGTGAAATGGACTCGGGAGGAGCTGTATCAACTCGACGTAAAAACCCGAAAACTGATGCATCTCTATAGGAGTTTGCATCCCAAATCGTCCGTTCCATGGTTGTACTTCCCCCGACAACAGGGAGGCCGTGGACTTTTGAGTTTGGAGTGTCTACATGATAGAATGGTACTGGATACAACCTGTAAAGTTGTTAGGAGTTCGGATCCCCTTCTCTGCATGGTCTGTGACCATGAGAGAGCAGGAATTGGTGCATTTCTCCTTAGGAAGCTGCCCGAGCAGCTGATGGACTCGGTTTAGCTTTCGACTCTGAACGAGGTGACTCGGTGTCACCGAGTTGGAATCCGTTCAGCAAAAAGCTCAGATAAAAACCGCAGAGATCATCTTACTTCTGCGGAGACACAAGGATAAGCCACTGCATAGGGTCTTCTTCAATAACATTGGAGACCTTGGCTTATCAAAGCGCCTGACGTTTGCTTTTCTCAGGTCGAGTGGGCTGAAGTCGGAAACTGAGGGGTTCATCACGGCTTGCCAGGATGGTGTCTTCAACTACTTAGTCTACAGAAGGTGCAGGGCCTGCCGCGAAGCGCCCGAAACCCTAATGCACTTGCTATCAGCATGTAACATATGCAGTCTCGGCCTATATCCATCGACATAACGCGGCCCTAAGAGTGCTATATTATCATCTACGGCACTCTTACGGTATTCATGAGACATCTATGTTGTCCTACGCTCCGGGGAATATTGAATCCGTTGTGGGAAACGAGAAGTGCCGAATTTATTGGAACTATTCGTTCCTCACCCTCAGGCTCATACAATCTAATAAGCCTGATGTGGTCCTTCTCGACCACCAGAACAAAACGATATTTGTCGTGGAGTTTTCAGGTCCTGGCGAGACGCATATCGTCAGAAAATAGGAGGAAAAACGAATAAAATATCGAGATTTTCTTTTCGAACTCCGCAGACTCTATCCAGGCCACTCTGTCAAGATGGTTGTTCTGATTATTGGAGTCCTTGGTGGAATGATGTCATCTCTTCTCTCGAATCTTTAAATCATACCGGCTTGTCGCACTGAGGCAGAAATCTTAGCCGCACAGATGCAGAAGGCTGTCATTTTCGGCTCACTGCGCTTGCTCAGGGCACATGATTCTCGGACCCAATGATCACTCACCCCACGGTGTGGGGAGTGGTCATTGGTTGATAATGCTGGCGCGCCCTCCCGAATATATCGAGGCTTCGGGGGATAGGGCCTGATCAGCGCACACCACGGGAAAAAAAAATAATAATAAACAGCTTTATTTCAGAGTAGAATACAAACTTTCATCGCCATTATTTTGGTGGATTTGAACACTGTTCTGCAAGTTTGGTTATAATTTAAGTTGTTGATTCCTCTTATTATTCTTTTTTGAACTATGAAGATTTTTTCGATATTTCGATTGCCACCCCAACAAATAATTCCGTATCGAGCAACCGATTTTAAGTTAGCCGTGTATAGGTATTGTTTTTATAGCCTCATTGTGCAGATATCCTGATGTAACTCTAATTCCACTTAGATTGTTTGCGAGGTTATCAATATGAGAAGTCCAATTCATGTTCTCGTCTGTGGAGTCCTAAAGATTTGGGGTTGTGGGACATGTCAAAAGAAAAGTTTTGAAGGTCCACCCTAACTGGATAATCAATGTTGTCTTGGTTTATTCTAAACAAAATCATATGTGTGTGTCTTCGATTCATTCAGTATAAGTTTATTTTTATTGAACCAGTCCTTAGTTTTGTTAAATAGATCTGTACTATTTATCATCATCTTTGGGAAGGCTTCACCACCTGATAACAGACTTGTGGCATCTGCGAAGATAGTTTTGAACTGACGTTGGTTTAGGATTGAATCACATAAGTCGTTCAGATAAATGACGAATAAAAGAGGGCCGGCAATGCTTCCCTACGGAATTTCCACGTCTGTGGGAAGAGTTTCAGATTTAAAGACTCTTCCATTTCGTTTTATTTCTACAGATTGAAGGCGATCTGATGGGTAGGATTCAACCCACTTCAGCGCTGAACCTCTTATTCCATATCTTTCTAATTTTATTAACATTGGTTGATGATTCAAGCAGTCATATGCTTCGGATAGATCCAAAAACACCCCAAGAGCTATCAATTTTTCTTCCATCATGTTCGTTATATTTTGTGTGAATCGATATATGGCCGTGTTGATCTACCCTGTAAGTATCCATGTTGAAGCCTACTAAATAAGTTACATTGATTCATATACTCTATAATTCTCACTGATATTGCTAGTTCGAATAATTTTGAGAAACTGGGAGGCATACATATTGGTCGGTAATTTTCTAGACTCTCTGGATCACCTTTTTCAAAGGTTAGCTTCACAATGGAGGTTTTCAATCATGTTGGGAATATGCCATACTCCAGTGTATTATTGATGATATATACTATGATTCCGTTAATGGCAATTAAGTTTTTTTCATAATAATAGTAGGAATTCCATCTTCTCCACTGGAATGTTTATTTTTCAGTTTTCTATATAGTTCTATCATTTCTTCTGGGGTTATGGGTCTCACAAACATCGATTGCATATTTACAGGGATATCACAGTGAAATGGAATATTTGAGGAATTTGCTAGTAATTGAGGTACCATGTCTACCAAATATTTATTGTAATCATTAACTATTGCGTTTGAGTCACCTTTTATGCAACACTCTTCATTTCGAACTCTCAATTTGTTCTATTTTTTTTTCTGGTTTTTTGTAGGTTCACATTTCTATTGGTTTCCAAAAACAAAAACAAAAAACAACTTTCTTTTATTACAAATGGAATATGATTCACATAAAGTGGCATTGAAATCCAATTTGTAATTAAATTCTGAATATTCCATCCTACGAATAATTCCTTGCTTGAACTCACTGACTACAGTCAGGAGATTACTACAAATATGTAGTTGTAGTTATTCATTCTTCTTAAGACTGTTTGGTTTCAAGTCTAGCCATAATCCACCCACGGGTGCTAGAATGATTCCTTTTGTTTCCATTTTTAATGGTAGTTTGGTTTTTTTGCTCAAATTGAAGTTGAAGTTCCTAAGGGTGAGAGACAACGCAATTTTTGCTTGAATCATGGCAAATCGCATTCCTATAACAGAACATTATCAACTTCGGATTTCAACACTCCTGAAAACTTACCGATACAGTTTCTTGGGCCATCTCCGAACGGCATATATGTGTAGTCCCATATTTTAGATTTGTTTTCTTCATTGAAACGATCTGGCTGGAATAATTCGGGTTCTGGAAAATACTCAGCATCCCTATGCAGTCCATAGCACGGTATAAGTACCGACTGGCCTTGTTTTATAACAACTTTTGTGTCGGGAATGTTGTAAGTTTTTGTACATTTTACACCATGGACTTAAAAGAAAACCTCCAAATCTCATTCCTTGATGTTTTAGTCCTCAAGGAAGGTAATTGACTGAGCCATAAGGTGTACAGGAAGAAAATACACCCAGATCGATAACTATATAATGGATATAATCAGAAACGAACCGTAATCAAAACCTTTGAGAATATGTGAAGAAAGGTTTGTCGCGACAAAATAAAACACCAAACAACTGTGTTACAAGCAAAACAGCTAGTACAGAAAATACCTAATCCGCCCGACGCGTCTAAGGGAGAAGAAGAGAAACACCCAAGGTACTGTCTATCTGCCACACATAGAAAGTGTCACCGACCGAATCGAGAAAACTGAAAAGAAGGAGAAAATTAACACCGTCTTCAAACCAACGAAGAAAATATAGGAGAATTTGAGATCAGCAAGAGACAACATAGACCCACTCAAATTAGCGACAGTTTACAGGATTCCATGTAACTGTGGTAAAGTCTATGTCGGTCAGACGAAAAGAAGCATTGGTACACGCCTAGTCGAGCACAAGCGAAGCTATCGATTGGGACAGACCGAGAAGTCTGAAGTCGTTGAACACGCATATCCGATGTGGAACACAAGATCCTGTTCGATAATACTGAGAGGTTAACAATGTCGAATCATTATTCAACAAGAATGTATTTAGAAGCCATAGAAATACACAAATATCAAGAGAACTTCTACAAAAAGGAAGAGAGAACATATCTACCAAAGATCTGGCACAAAGCATTAAAAAGTGACAAAATGAAGCCAAGTCATCGAAATCGCGCGGGAAGTATGCGCGAACCCGCATTAGTGTAAGTGCGCGGAAAATCAGCACTTCAAATGACACGGCATTTTCAATTGATACGTCAAGAAGAGTACTTCGATCACGCCACTGAAGATGCCTGCCGCAGTTGCAGTTGAAACATTTGGAGATTATAACCAAAGAAGACCACGGCAAAACCCGGAAGCTAATCAAAACAAATAACAAAACTTCAAAAATAATTATATAAAGACAACAACAAGATGATCATACTGTGGAATAGACAGATGGATGAGAATTTCAATAAATCAATAAAAAATAACAAACTGAACAAAAAATCGAAAAGTCCTTCAATACATTATTGACGAAAGAATAGAAAAACTCACCTAGTATTACCATTTCTAGATAACTCATTTCCATAACGGATTCATAAGTAATTCCTTGGTGTTTTTCGAAAAGTTTGTTAACCTCTTCCCTAGCCTTCTGTTGAATATTTCCATTCAATGCCATTTCGTATAGAGCAAAGCTGATTGTGGTCGATGTCGTTTCAAATCCTGCCAGAAAAAATATGAACGCTTGAGCAGCAGCTTCTTCCATTGTTAAGGCGATACCAATGGGGAGCTACGACAATGAAAAACTGGTTTGTTTTTGATATGTACTCATAATTTTTTTATTGTATCCAACATTTTGATATCCCCCAGTACGCATACATAGTTTCTAAACTGAAAAAAATGTCACTCTCTTTGAAGTACTTGTATTTCAGTTGAATACGAATCTTGGTTTGGAGCTCTCAAGGACTTCCAGATAGAAATATGAAATATTGTCAAAATTTCAATGAACGCAGACATATATTTTCTGGAAAATTATAGTAGTTGACAATGATTTTTATAAAATAATCGAGAATTTCGAAAAAAAAAAATGACCAAAGTTGGATATTGATGCACATAATGTGGGTTACGTTATTGATAACTTTAACTCACTTCTCTTGGTTCAGAATACACAGGAAGATATTATTATAGAGTAGCGAAAGAAAGAAGACGTGATTAGTTTCAGTATTTCATTCCATAGTGGTGATCCATCGGAAATTAAATATATAAAGTGAAACAAAACCGAATACTCCACATAAACCATGATATAATGGTTTGCTTGGAAATCTTTCAGTTGATAATCAACGGTGTTGACACGGTTCAATGACAATAAAGGAATAGGTAAGCGATCTGTGACACGAACTTCTGTAGAATGGTAGGATACGTTAGGCATCGCTTATTTTTTGTAATATGATAATTGAGCTCACAACGAAGTGCTTTGTTAGGAGGGATATGGATTACATAGTAAAAATGAAGTTGTTTCGACTTTAAAAAATCAATATGGGCAGGTACTAGCTGAATAACTTTGGAATGATGAATATTTTGTTTTTTTGGAATCTACAGTGATCAAATCATATTTTAACTCAACTGATATCATACCGAACCTCATTTTTGACAAATTCACATGTTTTAGCCTCAGTAAATATTGTGTCGTCAGTACTTCTCAATTTCAAGAAGCCATTTGAATATAGATTGAAAAGAACAGATTCCAAAATTGTATGTAACTTGTGGACTCTATATTCTATTGCTCTTAGATTGCTTAGCTCGTAGATCATTACAGACAAACTATTTTGTAGATAGCTGCCGGTTAGCATGAGAAAGTTTCGTCTGATTTCGTATCTTGTGATCTGCGATGAAAAATTTCCAGAAGTCGATAAACAAACACGGGAGAGTTATTCGTTTTTCCAGTCAATCACGTATTGATTCTTTTAATTTCAATATGACGTCTCTCTGAAACCGAATAGATTATTCGAGATGGGTTTATGGATGGAAGAAGTTATTCTGTTTTCAGCAGTTTTTTGAAACATGTGTAATTGGCGAAATAACTCTATAGTTGATAACTACAGGTTCATCACTGCTTTTGTATTGTTGTTATGACTGAATTTTTGAATGCATCAAGCCAAACACCTGAAGTTGAACATTTATAAAGACATATTCTAGTAGACAATTATACAGCCTGACTCACGATCGATGATAGACGTTCAAGGAAAAAACAACGCAGAATTCTTCGGAATCTGACATTTCCTTACTTGATTGTGCTTTTATATGCAACATATGGTTGCTTTTTGAATTTCATGAAGATCCAGATATTCAATATACCGCTCTATTTGCCGCCGCAAATCTGTTTTTGTAGGCACTGTACACTCTTTTTTTCATAATACCTCATGAAAAACTCAACCGGTGTGAGATGGAGGATCTTGATGGCCAAGGTCCTAAACGTTCTAACCAAGGATCATGAAATTGCTCGTGAATACTTCTGGAAATGTTTAGGGTGGAATGAGCTGGGCTTCGTTTTGTTGAAACAAGAATTTCTATATACATGGAAAGTCCTGATTGGTCGACGGTGTGCATTTTTGGCGGAAAGCGTTCTGGTTCATTCATGGGATAATTAGGGGGTGTGATATGTCATGCTCGACTGAAGGCACATTGATTATTATTCTGTATGTTTATGTTGGTGGTGCACTGGCCTAGGTTTCGATATGATGGATTTCCATGCAGTTGAGAGGTAGTGTGTGTCATCTCTCTTGTTCAGACTGCCAATCTTGTCAATTCCGATTGCCTTCCTTATTATTCTGGTTTTCAGGTGCTGCATACTGGCAATCTGTTTGCAGCATTTGAAGTTGATGTGGATATCAAGGTGGTGTTCATATATGGCTGGGATTGTTCGTTTGTTGCAAAGTAACAGTGTGTTCAAAAAATATCAAGATTTCCTTCACATGGTTTGTAGTTGTGGCTTCTGGTTCATTTCGTTCGGATGTGAGCAGAATTCCAAAGAATGCCCATCTCTGCAGGTGAAACTCTGAACTGCAGCGGCCTCAGACCAAATAGATGGTTCTCACACGTCTTGTACTCATATACATTCAATGAAAAAAGTTATGGGAAGAAACCAGTGTGTTTTTTCCACAGGTTACAGTTAAAATTCATTATGAAAACTCCATTATGACAGTGTCTATCATTTACATAGCAAAAAACAGACGTTTTTGTTCGTATACAGAATGTAATATTTACTTGGGTAGACCCACTGACGTCATAAAAACTCAAGAATTGAAAGGCATTATAGATATAGAAAGTGGCATTATAGATAGTTCAATCCAGAGTATTGAAAGTTGATATACATTTCGAAAATTACAGTTATGAAATTTTGAAAAATCTTGATCGTATGAATTATTCAGTAGTTTTCCACTGATATCCGTTGATAATCACTGAACTGAATCAGTTCAGAACGTAGCTAATACTGTTTATTCACAAAAATATACTTACTTTCACCTTATCATAATCAACTTCGTCGTCAATTTGTCCATTTTTCCTCAATTGAATGAGCAGCTGCAAAAAGTCTGGTCTGCTGACATTGTTTTTCTCGCGATATTCGATTGTTTCTTTCACTACTCGACTGAAAAAATTTGTAACGGTACCAGAAAATACGCCCAGTCCCAGAATTTTGGCAACGGAAGGAAAACTTCTGATTATTATCTGGAAAAGTAAAACTTATTAGGTGCAGGCGAAAAGGGTAAAATGAGAATCGTGGAGGACTACTCTCACATATAAAACATCTCTTATTGGATGGATTTCATCAAACAAATACTAATGGATACTAATAGTATGTATCTTTGAAGAAGATAAAAATAACATATCATCAGCAACACTTGTTATTCCAGCAAAAATGTTAATTGAAATAGCGAAGTGACATGAAAGATGGACATCGTAGGTCCAAGAACTATTCTTTGAAGTACCCCGAATCAGACCATTCTCTTATTATATTAAATGTACTTAAGTAGGGAGCCTATTAGTGTTACATAAATATGGTATCTAGTGCGGACGTAAATAGAACCCGCCCTCTCAACTTTCGAACGGGATATCTCATCTTCATCTTATACATAAAAAAATCATTTGAGCAAATATTCAAAATGTTCTTCAATTCATTTTCGAACTCATTTCTAACATTTTGGAAAGTTTCCGGGATAATGTTAGCACATGTTTCGGTAATTTTGTCATTCTGGATTTGTATTGTCTCAACTTGAGTAACATTAACTCTCAATTTGATATAATCAACCCGAAAAGAAAATGATCCAATCCCTTACTGACCCAGAAAATGGGACTATTCACCATTTCATCAAAAAACAATTAGATTTTTGAGTTCATTTTGATTGATGACCACAATTTTTTTAATCCGTAAGTGTAATGCACTTTCTAATTGAATACTTTGATATTCAATTTTATTCTGAATACGATTTCTTTCTCAAACACATTACAAAATTTGTGGATCTCTCCTGGTCCTTTTTTGGTTACAGGAATTTCCATTTTTCTTCTCAAATTCATACAAAACCTGTTATTGTTTCGAAAAAAGGGTCACAAGACCTTCTATGATATTTTTGAATTCACAGACCAAGTACCAAAGCTACAACTGCACAGTGGTGTTTCTTACTGTTATGTCATTGATAGAGTAATTCGGCAGGTCGATCTTGTTGCTGGTCAAAGATAGAAGAACCGTTTTTTGAGGTTAACTCTGAGGAACTTGTGTCCCTCTGGATGCTCTGGTCTACCCGGTCAAAATACATCTCTCAGGGTAGTTAGGGGGCTATGAGAGTCTTGAGGGGCTGTGAAGAAACTGCGGCACAGTAGAAAGCTAAAGAATCTTTGAAAAGTTGAAGAGAATCTAAATATGTTACCTTCAAGTTTTTCAATTGCGTTAGTAATGAGGCTGTGAGAGGCTGTGCTAGCAATAATGTCAAGCACTTGAGCGTCAGTGGTGGTAGGTTATGATTGTGGTTTTTTTTGTAAATAGGATTTTTTATATTCATCACTCAAAATATTGTCACCATTTTCAGAAGATCGCCAACGGTTTGTGTAAATGCTCTCTTTCCCATCAACCTGAACTCTGCTTGAGGATCTCTCATGCAATTGCACTTTAGACCGAAAGCACATGATCCTATGACGTCGGTAGTGTATCTTGCCAATATTTCCTTTATCTCAACATCACCATCATTTTTAGCTATTTCTTCGAGGGTGTTGATCATGTCGTGGCCGCATTCGACGATAGTTCCGAACATGTATTTCAGTTTCCCGGGGGAGTAGGCAGGGGTGAGTTTTGCACGAAGGTTTTTCCATTTGGGGCCTGGAATAGGAATAGAAAATATATTTATCTCCAGTAGTATCATATAGTTTTTTGTTCACTACGAATATACTAATGGGAAAATAAACTCATTGATATATAACTAACTGACCCGGTGTGTTTTAAAATACAAGCCAAGTTATATTGACTTTTCTGTATTGTATTTGTGAAGCATTAGATCCGGAAATACTAATACAGCCAGTGTCATCAAGTCATTTTCATGCTTAGCAGTAGACTTTATATCAGAAAACCTTGTGGGGCGAGCAAAAACTATCACGAAAAACACTTTCACTTTTTCCCAATCCGTCGACCGCTGATGTGGTGAAATCTTTATGAAAGGATATTTATTATCATCCGCAGCCATTTAACCTAGACAGTTCGAAATGTTTTGTGAAGAACTTCGGCTTGGACTTGAAAATTTTGGATAGTTTATACCTATATCGTGTCAAAGCTTCCTCCATTTAACAAAAATGTCTTGCTTCAATCTGTATTTTAGAACTTCACATACAACAAATCCATTTTTGTCCTCGAAGTATCTTTCTACCCTATGTCACGAAAATCCTTTTCCGCACATTCAACTCCGACATGCATTTCGTTGGTTATTAGGCTAATTAATTTTATACAAATGAAATTTTACATATGTACTATGTCTTCATACTTCGATAGTTCCTGTTACCTAACGAGTGAGCACTGATGACGACGAAAGTCGAAAGCGCTTTGCAATAAGATTGAACACTATGAACACTTCTATACCAAATTCTTCGATTCATCAATAATGTGGAATGCTAGTCAAAATAGAAAAAGGTTGGTATTGATGTACATATGTTGAAAAAAATGTTTTTCCGTTAACCAGCTGTCGCACCCCTACGAACGACAACCCTCAGAAGTCGAAACTTGTGCGAGTTAAGGACTAACGAGGTCTTACCTTTTATCGTGTGATTCCTACATACATACATGTTATATCTTCATTTTGAAATATAAGTAACAACATATAACATTCATAAAGTATATTCCAATCCTATATTCAGCCCATATAAACAAAGATCAGCGCGTGTGCGCCTCGTGGCTTGCTGGAATCTGTGAAAGGACTAACCATTAACTGCTACAAATGCTCATTACTGTGTTTGCGTACTTAGATTCAGTGCGAAGTGCATCATCGTTGCATCCATTTTATCGAAATTAATTGTGTTGTTTGAATTGCTTCTTTTTAAATACCATGCTTTGTAGTTTGAATATTGTGTTTCGTTACGTACTTTCAGAGTATTTCAAATAACACTGTATTTGCTTCTCGGGCATATACCGAAATTTTTATTAAGTGTAATGTTGGGTATATTCGATAATATATACGGGACACTCAAACGCATCTGGTATAAATACAGTTAACGAGTCTACAGAAATTTGTTTGTCTCCTTCTAAAAAAGGTTCGAACAATTCTCATCTTAACATAAAAACCAAGGAAATGATTTCAAACGTGTCCTGCAATGAAAGCTACAGTGGAAAACAGAATACGAATTTTCTTCAACGAACGATGTCGAAGCTTGGTTTAGAAAAAGGCCGCCCCCAAGTGGTTCATCGATGATATTTCTGATTTGAGTCTCATGTCGATCCCATAGATGATGATTTCGTAAGGAAAGACAGGTGTTCATGCCTACTTGTGGAGGACAGTTGAATCCAACAATGCATTTGTGATTCAGCCTATCAGCACCGATGTTACTTACTCACTTAGTGTTGAATCAGTATTGTTTTGATTTTAGTTTTCAATATATACATAGATAGATTTATTGAAATTGTCTAATTGAACATATGAAAATTCCAGTCAATATATAAATGAATAAATGTAAAATATAACAAAATTGTATCACAGGTGTATCAATTCGTGGGAGTACATATTTGTATAACTGAGTATTTACGAAAAGTGTATGAAAAGTGAACTCATTCGTCTAAGAGATATAAATAATAAAACACAATGAAACATACTGTCGCATATATCATATCTATAGTTGTTGAAATTATGGAAATCTTGATAACTATTACTAGTATCCATCCTTTTTACTCTTTTCTACAATCGTCATGGAATTTCCATAAAAAAAAATTTGCATCGAATATGGTTCCATGTTACACAAGAAATCAAAAAGTAGATTCTCAAAAGTATACCGTCTGCCTTCTTTTCTGATTGTTATTGGTAAATAATTGTGTAATTTGATGGCCATATAGCATGGACCTCTTTCTGTATTTTTTAGTTTATGTGTAGGAAGAATGAGGTTCGAGTTATTCCTAGTAAAGTACTCGTGAATGTTTTTATTGGCATAAACGAAAATAACACAAACATAAATATGAATCCTATATGAAGTGAGTAATTTATTACTTTTGGAAATATTACGACAGGAGTCTGTAAAGTTCGTGTCAACCATATAGTATTTACCATAAATTTTTGCATAATGAAAATGCGATCCACCTCAGAACATTACTCCGTATTTAAGGAAAGGATAGATAGTTGCATAATATGGAGTTTTTAGTGCAGATGTAATCTAGTAACTTTCTAAAACTCTAATTCGATAACATTTGCTGGCATGTTTTTTTGCAAGATGCACACGTCGACGAACACGTCGAAGTTTAATTTGTTATTTAGACAGACCCCTAACATTTTCGAACATGAGGTATTAACTGTTCTAACTTTTTCTCTGATACCGTCTTTGCCATAAATGGCAACTCCTCCACGGCTGCATTTTTTCCTACAGAAGCTGAATAGGTATCAGATTATGGTTCGCCAGATTCATCATCCTCAACTCCTCTTCACAACACCAATATTCAGTTTAAACACAGAAAGTTTATATTAACACTATTCAAAAAACCTTCAATTCATTTGAGACATTGAGACACTTTATATTTTGATGGAGTATACTTGCACTTTTTGTCTCGGCAATGAATTTTGTATTCACAGCTAAATCTGGAATTGGGAGAGTCTGGGATATAAAAAATGTTGGTGATTGTTTTTAGGTATATAGGTAATCTAGTCGGAAAATGTGCGGATCTAGGGGTCTTGCGTCTGGTGATGAATCATCAGAAGAAATTGTAACCTGCTTGTCGCTCTCTGGCGGAGTATTCTCTTCAGTTCCTTACTAGGTAGTGAACTGACAAAATTCATAAATTAGTGTTATTCAGAAGGAGCCAGCTCCTCATTTGTCACTTTCAGCACCTCAACTGGTTGTTCAGTTGATTTATTATTGAATAACAGCTTGATGTATTCAAGCTAATGCCTTACATGTTTAATAAATAACAGGTTCCTCCAACATTCCTTAATTTTTTTGATAGTTATTTTGTTGGAAATGATTATTATTGCATTCGAAAATGTGTAGTAACGAGGAATGTGAATCGTTATAAATATATCTATTTTTTTTGAGTCATTCAAACAGTAGGGTTTAATAAAAAAAATATTTTAAATGTCTCCAAATCGAATATAATGATGTCAGGTCAGACAATTTCGCTTTCTGCTTCGATAATTTTATTGGTGGTTGAAATGGACACTAATATGTCCTGGCACAATCATGTCCCTGGAATTGCAAACTGCTTCTTGAAAGCTTGGAACACTGTTACGAACCAGAAAACTGTACACACCTCAGCAACTTTTGATGCTTCATAAAGCTCAAATAAGACCTTTTTTGAATTATTTCTCATATATAGAGCTCTGTCCCCAAACATCACGTGGAACGTGAAAAAAAAGTTGGAGATTTATCCCTCTTCTATAGATACTTTCCCGAGAATTGTTCAAGTGACTTGGCATATTTGAAAACTGCGTTTATGTGGAATAAACTTCCCGAGAACGTTTTTCCAAATGGAATTAATCTCCAGCGATTCAAATCAAATATGAATATGCCTGTGCCTTTCGCACAGGCACTGCTATGAGAGCGCCTTGATGATTTTTCTGTAGTGCTTAGGTTTTGTTTAAAAAAATGTTGAGGATGTAGAAACAATATTCAATATATTCCTTTTCGAATTCATATGGCAGTTAAGAGGTGAAACGAGATTGAAATCATCCGCATGGTGCTGGTGTTCTCAAAAATTTCAGGAAAATCGTTTACATTAATGATAAACAACAAAGGACTTAGCGCACTTCCTTGTGAAACATCTTCATGAATTTCATCTATATCAAAATAAACAAACTTCTGATTGCTGATTAATACAAACTTTTCGATTTCTTTTGCTAAGATAAGATTTAATAAGAGGTTTTACCTCTGATTTCATGATGAGACAGCTCTTGTACCAAAACAGAATGGTCCACACAGTCAAAAGCTTTACTCAGATCCAGAAAAACACCACGAGCTTTGGAGTCTTGTTCAAATGAATAATGAATTTTGTCTATGAAATCAAACAATGCTCTTTCTGTATTTTTTCCTTTGAGAAAACCATGTTGGAAATCATTGAAGAAACTGATAATTCTAGTTGATTTGATTACTTCAAATAACTCAGAAGAAGCTGTCAACAAAGTGATTGGCGTATAATTGCCCATATCCTCTTGAAGTGGTTATACTATTGCCAGCTTCATTTAGTCTGGAAATTTTTCTGACTCTAAATAAATATTGAATGACAGAGTACGATAGGAAGTGAATGAAGCACACTTTTTCAATAATTCAGATGGAAAATTATCAGTACTCAATTTGTTTTTAAGTTTCCTACTAACCTGAATGATTTCTTCTTCACTGATCGGATATAAAAATATTGAATGTTGGCACCTAGATGATGTGATGTTTACCTAATAACATGATTCTTCACTACTTATAAGAGGTGAAGAATTCAGAAAGTGGGTATCAAAGCTGTGTTCACTTTTCATATTGTTCAGAAGTCGTCTATATGCTTCCACACATTTGATATATACATTTTTGAATAAACTGTTACCAAGTGCCATTAACTGTAGAGTACTTACTATATTTTTCATGATTTGAACCTCTTTGAATATCCAATTATTTTGTTTGACTGCTTTATTATTCATTTTTCCGATGGGGAAATTGAAATTGAAGAGTTTTTGTATTCCTTTTAGAAATGTACTTCATATCTCATTTACATTAGACTCTAAATATATTTCTTTCCAACTATGTTGCACTACTTGTAGAATAAAATTGTCAATATTTTTCTCCGAAAATAATCTTCATATATGAAATTATTATCGTTTTTCAACATTGGACAGTAGATGTTAATTAATTGAGCACGATGATCAGAGAGGTAGGGGTCAATAGAAGCTGCCTTCTTTTCTGATTGTTATTGGTAAATAATACATTGCTACCAAGACTATTTTTTGACGAATACTCTTTTCTTCATGACTCCAACATGCTCATCAAGATTGACGTTTTTTTAGATCACAAAAGTGGATAAATTCATTTGTTGCTTTTTGATCAATTTCATCGCCGCCCCTGGTTTGAATATCTATTATCGTGAATTCATCAATCAGCAAAGTAGTGGTTTGTGTATCAACACAGTTACCTGAAACTTTTTTGCTGATCTGTTTTTGCAGTTCCTTGATTTCATCTTCCATATCTTCAACTATGTGTTTTATTTGACCTCAGAATTGTTTTTTAAGAAGATAGTTGAGTCCAACAATGCATTCGTGGTTTCGTCAATTTTATTTCATATTATTTCCAAATCCTTCGAAAGTTGAATAGTTCCTAATGAAATGAAAGTTGCGAAAGTTTCACCCATATATAAAAGTGACAAAAGAGACGATTTAAACAATTACCGAAGAAGTTCTGTGCTTTCAGTTTTTGCAAAAATCTTAAAGAAACTGATACATATGAGGCTTTTGAATCATCTTGAAAACAGTAACCTTCTACATAAATTTCAATACGGTATTCGCAGATCTAGCGACACAAAGACAGCGGTAATGGATGTAGTGTCACACATCCAAATGGAAATTGATGAAAATAAGAAATAATGTCGTTCCGAAATTATTTATATAATAGAAGACGATATGTTTATATAGGTAATCAAAGAAGTTCTCTTCAAAATAAAACTTGGTTCCCCATATTTGAATATTAACTCTCTAGCCAATCTGAAATTGAATGGTATAATTAAATTATTTGCTTGTGAAGTACTGTTTGGAACATTTGGTATAGTAATGAATATTACTGGAGTTTTTTCCCAACACCAAATCGTCCAAAAGACAAAGTCGGGAATTCGGAAAAGTCTGGAATTTACGAAATTGACTGCGATGCAAAATATTATGGACAGACAAAAAGATCTATTAAACTGAGATATAAGGAACACATAGTACTCTTAAAATATGAAAGACCTGAAAAATCAGCATTCGCCCATCATATTTTGCAACAAAACCATTCCGTAGACTTCATTTATATTCCTTTCATTCACGAAATCACAAAATTTGGTTGGATCACTGTGTTAGCGTTCTGCGTTTCTAATGAGCATTTATTACTTTTCACTGTTAGGAAATAGGGAAAATATTCGTAGATAATCCACATCTACAAAATTTTCTGTGATTGATGACTTGTTCTTTTTTTAAAAAATCATCAAATGAATTTCACCTTCGTCCTATTATCAAGTGTAAAAACTAACTAGTACATTTGAAATCTGAATACGTGTTTGTAGCTAAGCAGGATGGGGAGGTGATTAAATGAATAGGGGTGCCAATTATAAAAAAGTTTCACTTGAGAGTTTTTGACTTTTTTCCTTTCGTTAGAAGTTCCAGATTTGTATATTAGATGAAGAAGTCAAAATATAACAATAAGTTTTTCAATAAAAATTTGTTATTTTGGAACTGACGGAAGAGTTATACAAATAAGGTGTTACACTACAGGATTGTGACAAAATATCAAAATTACCTGCTATGGAGAAGAGATGTGCACTCAACGGATCGTTTTCTTCATCATAATAAATTCCTCTATCATGAAAATGCTGGAAATCTTTGTTGAGTATATCTTTAATGATGATTGGATCCAGGGGTAAAAACGCCTTCCTGCTAAAAAAATATAGTCCTGCATACCGTTGACCTTTCATCTTGTCGTATATTTCTTTTATTTTATCACCCATATTTTGTTTTCGGAAAATCACTGAGGCCATGTCTCCGAACGGAAATGTGGGATCTAGCTGTGGTACTTCCATTTTGCGCCAGTAGGTGAAGGCTCTTTTGAAATATATGTACACAAGAAATAATCCAGCTCCTAACAGAACGAGGAATGTATTGTCTGTTAGAGAATACATTTTCATAAAACCTAGAACAAAAATGATAAATTGATTATAATGCAATTGAATTGTGAGTGTATTTCAAGTAATAAATAGTATTATTAAAAAGTAGTTGAAATCCCCATAAGTCGAGAATCTTACTCTTTTTCTTTGGGTTGCACAACAGTTTATTTCTACAATTTTTATGAGACGTAACAATACCCATGCTGTTCAAACATTGGTTGAAATTGAGAATGCAAAATGCAAATATCCAGCAACTACGTTTTCAATAAAGAGGTATTAGTTCTTTACTGTCCCTTCTCACACAAAATATACAAACTTCAACAAAAAACTGGATACAATAATTCTCGGCCTGAAAAAGGCCGAGGCCTTTTACAAATTGTTATTTTATGCATTTGAAGAGAATATATTAGATATATTGCTGTTCAGTGGATTGGTTTCATTATTATTATGATCCATTTTTATAAAATATTCGAAAATCTCATGAGCCAAGCATCTTACGCTTTCTGTGTGGGTTACTTAATTGTTTATTCTTACAATATTTTGTGAGACGTAATAACACCCGCACTGTTCTAACATTGGTTGAAATTGAGTAAGCAAAATGCGAAGACCCAGCATTTTCAACAAAGATGTACTCGTAATAGTCCATCACTACCCCTTTCACACAAAATATACTCATTCCAACAAGAAACTGGGTAAAATATTTTTCAAAATAGGATTCGATTCACTTTTTCACTATGAGTTTTTCAAAAATTGTTTGCTGATTTTGCCAAAGCATTTTTTCAATTGTAATTTTAGGCAGCCATTTAAAGAGAATATATTTGATGTTTTACTGTAAAGTAGATATGAAGATATTACAATAAAATGAGAAAATAATTCCAAATTGCAAATAAATCTCGTAATCACTATTTCAAGTACCTAACTCACAAAAATTCCTGCTTGATTGGCCTTTATATTAGGATTAAACATTATGCGCGAGTATCGTAAACACAACGCATCTGTGGTGCTGGGCTGCACCATAAGTGCATTACTCGACTCAACTATCCTTAAAGGACAAGCCTGAGTATGTAAAAGCGATGGTATCTTTTCTGAAGAATGAATTTCGAAATATTAATCTCTCCCAACTACCTACACAGTAGCGTCTGGTAAACGTCTGTCGGGAAACAACTACTTCCCCGGCAAGCCACTGTGAGGATATAGTTGTTTTCCGATAGACGTTTACCAGACCCTACTGTGTAGGTAGTTGGGAGTGATTGTTATTCCGAAATTTATTTCGAAATATTCATTTCCTTATTCCCTCTCAGTTATTTTTTTCTACCATTCAGAGTGATTTTTCTAATTCCATATTGCCGTCAACCTAGTTTCCATTAAAAATCAATTATCTTTGGGAGAAGACTAGAAATCCAATACATTTTTCCACTAACGACATCATATTTCTATTTATTTGCCCGAATATCTTAATGAAATCCTGGATGAAATCTATAGCAGATATAGAAGTGCTAAGAAAACTAGGTACAATTTCTCTAGAAGGTGATATACTCGTATGGTGAAACCGACCTAACAATATCAGGGAACCCAATTTCACTGATTGCATTAATTTTGTCTTTAAGTTATGGGTTAGAATTTTCTTAGGACCGCCCTGTAGATAGTTTCATGGGAAGTGTTCGATTTACTAGATTCTTCCGGCCCCTTTCGGCTACTAATGTGCATTCATTATATTTTACAAAAAAAACTAGATTTTTTTATTTTCCAAATCATACAGTTGGCAACTGAAATAAAGCAATATGTCAGCAAAGTTGGCTCCATTGTAAAGTAATCATGATGGTCAAGTTGGCGATGCATTAGTTGAGAAAAGTTGATTAGTTGAGAAATGTCATGGAAAAAATTAATTTCCTTACATTAATTTCAACTGAAATTCTAGAATTGGCATCATATTCTCACAAATAATATAGTTGTTATTGAAAAGTGGATCATTTCATGAAACTCACTGATTGTGGCAATTACTGAACATTGAATACTATTTTTTGTTAGTTATTATTATTATTTGAAAATTATGATGAAAAAACTTCTATTTTGTCTTGTATTGAACAATACAAAAAATTATTATAAAATATTCATTGTTTTTTAGCAAAATTATTGATTGAATATTATTCTATATTTTTTCATCTGTTTCCTGTACGATCGAAAATAGTACACTTGTGAGTGAATTTCTGAAAATTTTGAGATCAGTTATCTAGAGAAATGACAATTTTCGAATGATCATCAAAATCAGTTCATATAAAGAAGCTGTATCTGGTCGCTGTCTGACACGGAAGACATTTCATAAACACTGTTATTGATGATTTTTATTGATGCAACAGAATCCAAAGAACAAAGATTTGTCTGTACGTTTAGGGCTGATTTCAAAAACGGATCAACTGATTTGGATATGGTTTACACTAATATATCGATAAACATTAGTTGGGAAAGAGGACAAGAGGGGTGATATTTAATGAAGGGTGGTACATCAAAAACAGTCCAGCAGGGTTTGTGGCTTTCTGAGTTGAAATTTAAAAAAAATCTCAGCCTTATGTGTGTATTTCCAGTGGAACTTATTGACACGTTGATTCTAACACCATAAATTTAACCCTTTAACAGGAGCGGCTTTCATCCTAATTTTTTCAGAATAGGCAGGGGTATGTTATAAAATATTTTTTGGAAGGGTGGTGAATTTGCTTTAATTAAAATTATGTTTTCACGATTCGAGCTACAAGTTTGTGAAAAAAAAAATTTGAATTGGCAAATATCAGCCGACAATTCAACTTTATTTTCAGTAAAGTATCTGATTTGGATAGTTCGTTGGTTTTCTTGGACATGATGAAAAAATATGTTCTATTGAGGAGAGAGTGGGCATTATGGAACTATATTTTATGAACTATCAATGTTCAGAAAAAGGACATGGGTACATCGTAGAATTATTAGCAAAATTCTGTCAAAACTGGATTGGTGGCACATAAAAAACCAAGTAATCCTTCAAGAAATAAGCCAATAGAAGAGTAATTTTGTGTCAAGTTACTATGAACACTACATTGAGTACTCAGAAAGTGTGGTTTATCGGACCACTGTATAGATAATTCTAAAACAGAATAAATGGCACTCATATAAAAATTCACCTTCTCCACTAATCGAATGAATATGACAAAGACCGCCGTTCAATGTTACCTTCCCAGACAAATGTTCATTTTTTCATTGGGACTCTCAGTCGATATGATTGTAATACTAATCCGACATGAATCCAACGATCTACTGTGAGGTTCAAGGAAATATTCGAATGGAGATAATTAATGAGACTTGATGGAGAATTACTTAGAGCTAATCGAAGTAACGAAAAACCACTAACTTCACCTTCCACAAAATTCCGATATTTCAGCAAGAAAGGAGACCCCTCCCCATTATGCATCACCTGTACGACAGTTTTCGGGTTTGTTTTCTGGTAGATTGATTGGAAGGAGGGGTGCTTTCGGAAGTCCCGTAAGAACACCCGATTTATATACCATTGATTTTGATGTGGAGAACATTCATTCAATTGACTATGATTCCTCTGAAGATATACCGTACATATACCACATGATTGATCATTACCAAAAAAAACACCTGATACTTTTCAAAATATCCGAGAATTCTCTAAATAGTTGCTAGAGACCAGAGAGTGCACTAAGGGAACACGTAAGTAGTAATCAATAAAATTGATTTGAATTTTTTAGGAACCCACAGTTTAAATTTAAGAAGAAAACCCTTTTGAGGCGAATTTGGGGCAAAAAGATATTACAGTTACAGACATGAAAGTAATGCCACCCTGAAAATAAAAATTCATAAATACAGGAGAAATATTTTTTTATTTTCGCATTCGAAGCTATGGATCATCCAATATGATTCTAATCTTGATTGAATAATTAAAGGCAAAGTACTGTTCAAATACTTCGGCCGTTTTAGTATTACTTACCAAGATATAAAAGGAATCAACAATTAAAAAGGTACTTTTTTCACATATTCACTTCAGCTCTGAGCTGTTTTATTCTTCAGCATTTGTCGCATTCTTCTCTTGACAACTACATACTGAGATGGCATTCAACTTCTTCGATGAGCAGAGGAAGAACAGTTACGTTTTAAAACGAGTTAGTAGGTTGAGATAATGACCCAGATTTGAAAATGTACAATACCATCACGAAACATAGCGTTGAAGCGTCACTAACTCATTCATTCGCATTTTACCGTGTCTAATTAGGTTCAAGTGTGTATTTACAAATTCAATTCAACTCATTAGATCATGTATTTTGAAGCCAAAGTACTCGTAGGACTCCATAATGCATTATAGCAGTACATGCACTAGTAAGTTACCTATAAATAATAATGATTGGGTCAGAAAGAAGCAAAAGGATCGCAATCGAGATCTGGACTTTTTTCTCGAGTTTTTTAATTCCAATAAAAAAGTCCACATGTCCAGAAAAAGTCCTGAAATTCGACAAAGAGTCTCTTAAAATAGAGTGCGGATTTTTTACGGCTTGGTAGAAATCGTTTATTTGAATCATGAAATAGCACAAAAAAATTACATTCACAGTATTCACACATGGTTCATTTATGTAATCGTAGTCAAGGGATATATAAAATGGTGCAATATATTGGGTTATAATTTGTCAATAAGCAAATTGCCCGCATTCAAGAATCAACTTATTTATTATCAATGATTATAAAAATGAATGAACCGATTCTACGGTATCTCCTAAGTAAGTATGTCATGCTATCATGCTATTTAAAACGAAAGTTTTTATGAGTAAGTAATTATAGTATTCAAATGAAATGGATTTCAAACCTCGATGTTTTTTAATTATTCACAATTTTTGGTAAATTTCAATTTTTTATTGATTTTTAAATATAATTTTCAAAAGTGAATGCTTCCAATAGTAGAAAAAGCAGGACAGAGTTTTTAGAGGAATATTTTATCGTGAACTCGTACTGCTGATAGTAGCTTGAGCAGAGGTTCCCAATTTTTTTTTAACATAGACCACTCTAAAAATGTTGCTGGTTACAGTAGACCTCCTGCAGCTATACTTTATTCCCAAAAATCGACAAAAAATGTGAAGATCAGATCTAACTATGGAAATTTGCATTGCGGCTGCGTTCCAGCCACGAATTAACAGTTTCTGAATGAGAAGTGAGAATTGGATGGTTGATTTTTCAATTGATTGTGCTGTGAGTGGATGTGAAAAAAGTGAAGTTGGTCTATCAAAAAAGTGATACTATCGAACTTTATTGTTTGGCATCTACTGACAGCACAAGAAATCTAGCAATTTTCACTCATTTCATTTAGAAAACTACCCATTCGGTGAAATATTAATATTCATATTGGGAAAGAATCAAACAACTTCATACAAGATTGCAAGCTCACACTAGTTGTATCAGCAGGCGATCCACTGGAAGTTATTTCAATACCATTGTGATGTTATAAATTGTGGAATCCAATCGTTTATAACTGATTGACTTCGAATGCAAGACGTTGAGAGCGTGTTTAGACGATGCTGTTATGTTGATATAACCACTAACTTGTACCAACTCAACCAATTAATCTTTCATCACGGATCATCATGACCACCAACGCTGATCGTTATCTCCACAAACATGGACTTCATCACCGTATTAACCAATGAAACTTTCGACACGGATATATCACCAACAACACGGACCTCATTGATGAGTATGATAAAAAAACATTTGACCATCTCACAGCAATGATCTAATAGTTAATAAAACAAATATAATTTTTATATCTGGATATACAGTAGTAATGATCAATGACTATTGTACTATTCAAAAATACCTTCGACTCTTCTCATAGTATTATTCAAACAAATAACTCTGATAATAGTGTATCGAGTATGGATATGAGTATGATTGAAAAAAGAAAGAAAATAGTCCCACTACCCTAAACCCTCCACCACTCGTGACGTCACATGATTCATACGTAGCATGGCCTTGAGCATGACCTTGAAAATGCGGTCTGCAGTTCGAAACCCCCACCACTATACTCTTATCTTGAATGACAACACACAATCTTGAGTTATGTGTACGTCATATGACCTTGAAGAAACTAAACAATATTGAGTTATGAGCACGTCATATGACCCTGGGCATGGAGTTAGGCCTTAGCGATCGACTTTGTCCTTGATACATGACCTTGAGCTGGAGCCTCATAACATGACCTTGAGCGTATAGAAGGTGTAACTTTAAACCCCCCCCCCCTTTCCTGATATATCCTCCAAAGGCACGGAGTTTCTCGCTTCCATATTCAGTTCAGATGACCTAAAGTATCAGATTAGGTGATAAGTTTTTGTTTTCTTTTCAGTCATCATCCGTCATCCAGTCATCACCCGAAGACGATTGTAGATACTAACAATCAAAACGTCGTGAACTAACGTGACTTGGAATCTCTACACTTTTTATTATTTTCTTTTTTCATTCCTTTATTTTTATTTATTCAATTGTTATATTTTTACTTGTAGGTTATTTCACTACTATTTCATTTCAGGTCTATTTTTGCTTAATATAATTTTTATTTTCAGCTATTCATTTTTAATTATTCTTTGTTTCAGGGATTTCAAATCATTTTATATAGTAGACAATGGAAGTCCGAACTAGTGAAATTCATCATGAAACATTGTCAATCAGCTTCAAACAAACTTTTTGTTTTCTCATACATTCAATCTTTTCTTTGAAAAATACCAATTGTTTAACTTCATCTGAGTTGATAATCTCAATGGGAGGAGGTGCTTTTTTATACTTTGCCATTGATGTGTACCTCTCATACTATAAAAAATTTAAACGAAGTAATTTGACAAACCACACATGAAACATTTCAAAATCATCGCAAGCAAGCCATACCACCAATGGCGAGGATGAAAGGTTCGAATAATTGTCCCAAGGTAGCTTCATGATTTCAATCTATACCGCTTGATAACAGTTTTTTCTGAGGTAAACCTAAACACTACTGTTAATTCATAAATTTTCAATTATGTGTTTGAATGAAACCAAATGCTTCATTTTTTTGGAAGGGATCATGGTACTATTTGATAAGTGAGAATGATAGAGCCCATGTGAAATTTTTTGATAATAAAAAATGAAATTTCGTTACGATATCTTTTTCCATCAGCTACAACAATAATGCAATTGAACCAATGAACTTTCATTGATCTATGAGTTGTGATGTTCAGAGAGTTCCAGACACATCACCAATAGGCGGCGTCCTTTCCTTCTCAAAAGCCGTTCCACCAAATATGTATTGGGATCTTCCGTTTTATTCAATTACATTTCATAAAAGCAACCTTTGATTGGCTGCCCACTCACACCTTATATCTCATTAGTTATAGGTTCTGTATTGATTTTCACAACTTTAAAAAGTTCAGTTGTGAAGTTTGCTGTATACCCTTTAGCGAATACTTTTTCATACTTGATGACCATATCATCAATTTTGAATTTACTTTTTCCACGTTTTCCATGCTGCCTCTCGGATTTTGCATAAACTGACAGTTTTGTGGATGGTTTTACCTACAGGCTTCATGCCGATAGTGCGATGAACTTAATTTTTATATTGACTGGTAATTTTAGAAATAATATTCAACTACCTGAATTGGACTTGATGTAAAGATTGTCTATGAAGCCAACTCTTCAATGTCCTGATAACTCTTTCGGCAATTGCCAGCTTTTTTGTGCTGAATGTTGAGTCATTCATTTCTAGATAAGAGGATTCCACCATTATAACATCACAATGGTATTAAAAATGACTTTCAGTGGGTCGCCTGGTGCACACATTCTATACAAGAAAAAACTTGTTGTTGTTATGATTTTGGGCAATATTGAAGGGTATGCGTGTGTGAAGGAGTGACCCTAAGGAGGAATTGCATACAAGGAATAACCTATGAGAAAATAATCCACTTGAACTAGTGTACATAGATATTCATATACCATTGACCATGAGTATAAAGCATTCATATACACAAGTAAGTACGAGTAAAACCACTATCGATATTTCCACAACTATGGAGCATGAGTGCTCCGAATCGACAACACCACACACCTTGCTGTCAAAGAGTCGAAAGCGGCACTGCAATACATCCATGCACCACTGGATCCTCGTTCTGATAACGAATCCCGGAACCGTCTGCTCAGCGAGCAAGTGTAAAATGCCAACTGCTAGGTGAATGGCAAAATATCTCGATATTTAAATGACCTGCATCCTGCATCTTTCCACAACTGGCTCCTATTGCGGACTGAACTATTCAATGGACTGATCTCATGAGATCACAATCTTCTCATTTGAAGTCACTCAGGCTCAAGGTCAAGGTATCAAGAACAAATTTGATCGTTAAGTTCGAACTCCGTGTTCAAGGTCATATGGTCATTTAGCTCATAAAGCTCATATAGCACAATGTCGTTCAAGGTATAGATAGTCATATAACGTGCACATAGATCAAGGTCATGTGATGTCATTCAAGGTCGAAGTCAAATGGTGGGGAAAAGTTAGAGGATCGATATATCAACCACTGATATGTGGTTTACTGCTCATTATTTTTATATGGTTCAAAATTATTGTGTTAAAATTAGACTAATTAAATTTTTTAGCTAATTGAAGTATAATAGCAAGAGATGTTCTGGAAGTTGGGAAGTTTGACGGTATATTGAAAAGCGTCATGAACACCTGTATCAATCATCTCTCCATCATTGATTTCCTCCTGTAACCACGTTTTGATACCTTATATAACCTCAAAATCATCATTTAGACTTCTTCTGAAAAATTCATTCAGTTTTGTGTTGAGCTTCCTGCAACTCTGATGATGAATGTTTCAATCTAAATACCATTTTGCAAACTGAATAATAGCAAGCTTATTTTGATAATTGTCAAAACGTCAAGAAATCCACATCACCATCCACATATCTCAGCCATATCCTAGTGAGAGAAACTAATTCTTTATTTCAGTTATGTTCAGATCATGCACAAGAGTTTATTTTCGATTGAAACTGAAAAAAATCGAAATAGCTATTTCTCATAAAATTCAACACCTGGAAAAGTAAGAAAAAGTACTCACTTCGTTTTTGCTGGTTTTAGGCAATTTGAATTGAATTTAAATATGACGACTATCATTTCAGCTATATTGATGTGCTGAAAACAGAAAGACACACACAAGAAATGAATCATGATGTACCTCAAACAGCCGCTCCTGAATCAAAAAAAGTCTCCGAACTGGAGAGAACAATTTTTATATTGAAACGAGTAGTAGAAAAATTGCAGGTGGAAAATAAAAGACTAGTAAGTGGAAAGCAACCTCTCTCAGATCATTCGGTACGAACCTAATTATTTTTTTCTAATATGTTGTTCACAATGAATTATCACAATGAGAACTTTTTTGACTATTCGAAATATTATATCGTTACTTGCAGAAATATTCATCGGATTCTCCTGACGTGGAATTTTCGAAACGTTTGGCAAAACAGTTACTTACATAATATATGCATAAAATCCCGAACGTCGAACCGCCCGGTCGGTAGCCGGGCGGTTCGACGAGATTGAATCTTCAAATTCTTTTCGTAAACAATAAGTCGCAGGTTCCGTGTCCGTACCGTACCGAGTCTGGTTGAGATAATATATGTTTAAGACACCTTCATAATATGGGAATACTAAACGAGACTTCTTTTTGAAACACATCAACAGCGTAAGACCTTCCATCACTTTCACAATGGAGAAGGAGATCCACAACGAATTGTTTTTCTTAGACGTATTGGTGAAGAGGACCGACGACACTAAGTGGGAAACATCTGTATACCGAAAACCCCCTCACACGAGACAGTATCTGAACCACGAATCCAATCACCATCAATCGAGAAAGAGGAATCATCGAGACTCTATTAGACCGTGCTTTCGGGCTCTGTAATACGAAGGAAGGACTCGAGAAGGAACTAAACATCAACAAAAATGATCTTCAACGGAATGGCTACTCCAAAGGGATGGTGGAACAGACTTTGGCTGAAAGACAGCAAGAGCATCGCAAGGAAGAAAAGTCGTCACAACCAGTGCTTGCACTTCCCTACATCAGAGGATTATCGGAAATGATGAGAAGAATTGGGCCCAAGTACAACATCAGAACCTTGTTCAGATACGGAAACACTATCCGTAGCAACCTCACGAACACCATACGCTACCCAACGTGACAAAGAGGCCATTGAACGTTTGATTTCCGAGCACAAGAAACACACACAGCGAGGGGACAATAGCAAATCAGGAATAGCAAAGCATATTTGGATCCGTCAACATTACATCGAGTGGTCCCAAGCTGATATTATACACAGGGAGGAACATTGGTTTAGGAAGAAATTCAAAGAAGCCGCATACATGTTGTTCAACAATGTATTCAGCCCAGCTAGCGTAGAGTTACGCAGCATATGGAATTGTATAATCAAGCAAAAACTGGCCAACAACCGCCAAACGGTTATCTCCCGCTAAATCGGTGAAGCGGAAAAATCAGATAAGTGAAAGTACTCGAATGACCCATAAATAGTCATCTCTCGGAGGAATTGATCTAGTCATCACCTGAAGACGATTGTGAAGTAACTTGGTTTGGAATCTCTTAATTTTTTATTTTTTGTTTAATTGTTCCATTTTTAATTTTTTTCATTTGTATTTTATTTCACTGTAATTTCATTTCTGGGTTTTTTGTTCAATATAATTGTTACTATCAGCTATTCTTTTTAATTTTCAATTCGTATTGATTCTTTTAGGGATTTCCAATCATTTCATATATTATTAGACAATGGAAGTCCGAGCTGATGAAACTCATTATTGTGTTATTATTGTAACATTGTCAATCACCTTCAAACAAAAGAAGTTAAGAAGTTGGCGAAAGGAAAAGCCCATAATCTAAATGAAAAAACTTGGTTATTGGCTCCATTTTGGGTAACGAATGTGAACAAAGTGAATAAATCAAGAATTGTGTTTGATGCTTCAGATAGTGTGAGTTGAATGATAATTTATTGACAGGTCCCTATCTGTATAACTCCATGTATGGTATTCTGTTGAATTTTAGAATAAGAAAATATGTCATCACAGCTAACATAAGAGAAATGTTTTTACAAGTTTGAGTAAGAGACAAAGATTGTGCTACCCAACGAATATTACGGCGAGTTACAGATCGACGAATTGAAAGATCAATGAGTCTCATTGAGGGTATGATCCATGTACACAAAACAAGAGATTTTGCCATTTGTAACTGGATCACCAAACGTGAAAAAATCAGCCAAAGTATTGATGTTTCACTCTCAGTATCACGTGAAAAAAATATGGAAAAGAATGGAGATTTCGAAATGGAATTTTTTAGAATCCTCATGACGACATATTCAACTTTAGACAAAATTTCAGAAAATTGACAGCGATATTTTGGAACACATCAGACGACCGACTGCAGATTTGAAAACTATCCATAATTCCAAACTCCACAGACAATACTTCATCTTGGATAGACAAAAAAGTGAAATTCAACTCCCCATTATCCCAAAGAAAATATGGCTAATGGAACTATGAAGAGATTGGAAAAAATTAAGTTCAGATATGATACCGGGGATGAATTACGGGACCAGATTCCTTGATATTACAAAGGAATTAGTAGCCAAGAGAAAATCTGGAAAGTTAATGTTGATCATTTGAAAAAAGACTCATGAACTTGTATTCTACGATTTCATTCAAGACAATCTCACAGTGCCTGACCCGAATATGTTTTCTTAATGGAATATACTGCGTGCTACAATCTTAACTGCAGAGAAAAAATGAAGTTCATCTTTTCAGAAAAATTCACTTGGATTCATTTCATGAAGAGATGACATTTCTGAAAAATAAAATGCCCATCAGAAGTTGAAGTCAATTTCACATCATTTTGGCAGTTACTCTGTAGAGATAAGACTGATATGATTTGTTCTGGTTTAGATGGACTGAGAATTATTTGCCGAGTTTGATCAGGAGATCAAAATGACATGGTGATCCAAAATGTGTTGAAAAATAGTGGTGATTTGTTGTTATTCAATTACTAAGAGAAATAATGTTATATTATTCGTTATTGCAACCTATTTGCACTCTATATTTCGTTTTCCATTTGACAGTTTATTAATAATGATTAAGATTGATTTGAAAAAAAAATGAAAATTCTTGAAGACGTCTGACTTTTCTGAAAGAACATAAAACTTCGTTCTTCGACCCGAAATTAAATATAATTTACGGGTGATTCAAAAACAAGGAGGAAATTAAAAAAAATCTCGCCTCCTGAAACTGTATTTTTATCATTCATAATTTCAAATCAACGCCGAAAATAGGCCTCCGAGGGTGAATTTGGGGATGCAGACGCGGCATCTAAAGCGAGTACATCATGAAAAATGAAAATGTTTATTTCAACCATTGAATATCAATTAAAAAATTTATAAAAAACAGGGAGTATTCTGAGTACCATAAAAAATGGAGTATCGTTGATTAACAATATTTCACATGACTTGCGTCTTCATTAAAGATCAGAAAAGATGTTTCGCTTCGTGGAGCTCTTTCAATCAGTGTACTTCATGAGATTACGTTAAAAAAGTTTGAAAAAAAACTACATTTCATTCATTATATATTTTATAGTAACTAAAAAATCATATTCATTATCATATTCCCGTTTTTGTGATAAATAAAGATATTCGGTGAGCTGAACAAAAAATTGTAAGTGCAATTTTTTCATGAATTGTTTATCGTCAATGTCAAAGATGAAGTGGAAAAAATAGAGAAATCTAGAGTATATAAGCAAGTGTCCAAAGTGTAATAGTGCTAATCCCACATTACCACTAATATCGGCCATTATGTGGCCGATATTTCTTGAAATGGTATGCTGAACATAAAAGGTCCTTCAGACTAGGTAAAATGATTCAACGTTGTCAAACCATTCCTTGGAATGCAATCATAAGTTCCAGTTTCTAAACGATACAAATATTTTGCATTATGCAGGCAAGGGATGGAAACTCAATTATTTACAATCCTTGGAAATTCATAAACATAAGCATTGGGGATGTAACCTATCCTATGACTAAATTAACCTGGTGCATAGGCAAAAATGTATTTACTGGTATAGGTATGTTGATGATGTGGTAGCCTACTTCTCAGAAACACATCGACAAATACCTACAATACATCTACTCCATTCATGAAAACATTAAAATCACAATAGAACTATAAACCAATAATTCGATGAATTTTTTAGAGCCCACAATCCTGAACATTAACAACAAATACGATTCTAATCACACACAGCAACATAAATCAGCAAGTAACCACAGTATGATCCACAGACTCTTGAGTATACCAATGTCCCCAGGGAATTTTGATAAGGTATCAAATCTGATGAAACAAATTCCATAAATTCAACCCGAACTTAATTGATCATATCCTTGTTAAAAAACTTTCCAAACAAACCATTTATAAGGTATACCCTCTCATTGAATATAATACTGGTACCTTCAAGACACCCACACTTCAAGAAATTTAAAAACTAAAGAAGAATAATTTCACCTTTTGGAAAACAATCACGATTTCAATATTAACTACGACATACTCCATAGAAAAAATCAAAGACATAATTAAACTTGCTAGAGTATCTCTAAATCAACAAAGGCAAATATTCAAATTCCCTATTGAACGACCAACAAAAGGTTAACTACTCAGTATCGTTGAACCTTTTTTTATAATGCCGGAAATTATTCATATAAAAAATGTACATACTGTACAGGAACTGAAATTGTAATGGTTTTCAAATTATATCTGTTATCTCAACCTGAATCGGTTGCTTCCGATGCAATCATGAGTTGGAAACTCTGGCTAGATGGCGCTGGGTGCCCATTAGTTTTTTATACCAAAAAGTATTTAGCCCATCTGGGTCTGGATAAGTTTTTCGAACCCGCAACGTCTCTTCGATTTTCATTTAGTTCATTGAGCTCAGGCTGCCAAAAACTACCTACACAAAAAACTTCGATTTGCACTAGGGTTGGAGTATTCGGTTTGAGTGCTACGGATATTCTTGTAATAAATGTACCCCAGAGTATCGAGTAATTGAATGCCGAGAACTGAGCAGCGACATCAAAGAAAAGTAGTTGAAATTTTTTCTGGTTTGCCTAGCTTCAAAATGATAAGAAAAACGGCATAGCCCGAGATGGAGCCACCGTTGCCGTTGGCTTGTAATTATTGAAACGAAACTAATTACTTCTCTATCAACTAGTTTCTCATTGTATTCAAAATGTGTCTGCCGCATTCTACAAAACAATTCGGATTTCATAAATAAAATTAAAATGAATATGGAAATAGCAAGTATATTAAGCAATGAAACGTTAAATGAATTCAAAATAAATTGAAAATGAGAAAAAAAAAATTGAACAATTGAAAATGTAATGCATTAACGATGTTTCGATTTTTAGTATCCACAATCGTTTTCGGGTAATGACTGGACTAGTTTTCCGAGATATAACTATTTATAGGTCATTCAGATGCTTTTACCTATCCCCACTTCCAGTCATCATCCGGGTACTAACAATCGAACCGACGCGTCGTGAAATAACTTGAGTTGAAATCTTTCTTAATTTTTTTGATTTCATTTTCAATTGTTTGATTTTTTCATTGCTTATTTCAATAATAATGTAATTTTATTGCTTAATAATTGATATTTCTAGCTATTTGTTTTATTTGTTCAATGTACAGGACGCTGTTTTGGGAACAGATGATACTCCAGTCGAACTAGCAGAGACAGTAGGAAGATATGGAAAATGCATACAAATGTTTGATACAGTCTGCAAATAGAATAGAATACTCTGCTCACAATATCATCTAGTCTGAGTTCACAAGTTAGGCAGCTAATAAATATGTGTAACAGTTTCAAGGAGATGTAGGTTGAGCTTCAAAGTATATTTGGGCAAAGAACCGAACAAAGGCGATACAGACCATTTAACAATTTCTTTGGAATCAGGGGAAAGTACCCCCTAGGAATCATAGCTATAAACACATTGCTCAATTTGGGAAACTTTGGAAAGAACCTCAGAAAAAAACTTGGAAAGAGGATGAAGTGAAGTTGTCAGAGTCGACATTTATCAGTAGAGTATGCATTACTCTGTTTCAAGATTATGTATTAAGAATTCGTAAATGCATGGGGGTATGGGAGCAAATAACTATTCAGTTACTTTGTGAAAGATTAGGCACCGTGAAAATGCAACGTCAAGAATGAGAAGACACTAACGATCCTTCCACCAACCGATAGTTGGACAGCAGACTCAGATGACACTCAACATATGATCATGCACCGAAATTGGTTTTCCACTTTCCGAACATTCCTCCAGTCAGTTATAGTTGGTTTCATTCAGAGTATGCACGCTCTTCGAAAAGGAAACGTAAATGTTGAAGTGTTCATCCGAAGAGGTTGGAAATGAACTGCATGCAACAACTTGTCGATATACTTATCTAACAATAATTTGCATTTCATTAGTTCGACTGCCATTATCTAATATGATATAAATTGATTTGAAATTTCTGAAAGAATCTGTAAAAAATTAAAAACGTTAGCTGAAAATTATCAATTATAATAAGCAAAAAAATTGAAATTACAATGAAATAAAATACAAGCAACAACCAAAAAATAAAAAAAAAGTTGAACTATTAACCCGAGATGAAAATTAAAAAATTATTGACAGGAAAAGAGAATTTGAAATTAAAAGATTCCAAACCAAGTTACTTCCAAACCAGTGAAGTAACTTGGAGACGAATGAATGAAGAATTCTAAAAAAAATATGTCGAAGCCCTATTGCGGAAACATGAACAAAATTTTGTATTCCTAACCATAAACCATTAACAAAAATTCAAAATGGTGCAGTCAAAAACTATGGATTGGGTTGAAGATTAGGATTGCCAGATACTAACAGTGAAAGAATGCGAATGCGAAAACATAAAATATCTATTATAATATAACGGAACACAATAAAAAACAAGAATATTTGCCTTGATATTGATTTGAATTAGTTGAATGAAATTACGATTATTTTTAGGTTAGCGAAATTCCATGCATATTTTATTTCAGTTTTTAGTTATGAACAGTTTTTTATTTTTCTCCTGGATGTGAATATTGAAGTTGATACCAACTTCAACGAAAGAGTGGTTATCAATAGGTACACCTGAAATTATCTTTAAAAAAGTGTCATGATTCCATACCTGACTTTGAATAAATACTATCGAAACAAGTGTCAAGTACCTATGGAGCGTCGATGTTTTGATTTCCGAAAATGTATTATTGGATATTTATTCCTATTTGTAACTTTCTTGAAAATTGAACAAAATCCTGTGAAAACATGTGCGAGTTGAAGCAAATTTTTATTTTAGAAACTTTCATTTTCAATATTCCTGACATCAAAATAGTTCTTACGCAGTGAAGGAAATCTGCAAAAATCCATTATATAGCATTCCATCCTAATTTCAACAGTATATAAATCAGAAATAATTTCCACCATCCCTTTTCCTATTTGTTTTGGAAATTAGTTTCGCAAGTTCCACGTTATATCAATAGGTTTTTTTTATTTGAGGCATCTGCTGATAAACTGAAAAGAAATCATTTGTGCCTCAAGAAAAAGTATGAAGAATGTGTACAAAAACTCGGCAATATGGAACATGAATTATCCATGGCAAAAAATAAATTGCGAAATTTCCCCACTTCCAAAACAACTGATGATGACGGGTTTGTGGCCATTTCAGATGAACTTTCAAAAGTTCGAGAACAACTAGAACAGAAATCGACTTTACTGGATAAAGTCAAAATTCTTTTACACAGAGCAGCAACCAAGGAAAAATCTCTTATACAAGAGGTGGCAAACATTTTACATATTGGTGACCATTATATAATTCATTCAATTTCAGATTATCAAGTTGAAGAATGAAAAATGTGGTGAAATAAGTACCATTCCAGAAGAATCAGAAGGGAATAGCAGTTCCGAGTTATAAGTTGTTTGTTTGTTCCCCAGTGTTCAAAACTTTTGTATATTTATAGTAATTCAAGAATTAAATTACTTTAAGAATTCCATGTTTTCATTTGAGTCTACTTCTCCGGAATATCTTTCATTTCAATTACAAAATAAGGTATGAAAAAGGATATAGCAGTCAGTCAGAAAACATTCAGTGTGACATAATATTTCTGTTAACTTAATAAAGTTCCAATTATTCTCTGAAGAATTGAATCTTTGTACACATTTCTCTGTAAAATGATGTGTACCTGCTACCAACTATAATAAATTTTGTCCACCATTTCTGGAAATGTAAATTTGGATTTTTCAAAAATATTTTATTTCTGGGCCACTCAATATTTACTGTTTTTTCATATATAACCTTGCACAATCTGAAATATAGGCAGAGCCTTATCAACAGAGAATCCGATGAAGTGTAATAAGGGGCAAACTGAAAAGTTCATCCCGAAAAGTTACTTCGCAAAATAAATCACTGGAGAGTCCAATTAGTTTGTAACTTGTCGTATTTATAAATTTTGTCTGCACATTGAAAATATTAAATGAAGGAATTTCCATATCTATACTTAGATTTCTTCAGTGGTTGACGTCGAAAAAGAATCTTTTTTCGTTTTGAAAACCTAAAGTTCACTATAAATTTTTTTGCCTCTGTGAAGATTGACTTACGTCAAAAAAATTAGAGCTTTAAGATATAATGTAACAACAACTTTTAGAATTAGCACATTGACTTTTTTTTGACACAAAGTGAGAAGTAAGACTTTCTATGTTTTTATACCACTTGTATTTGTAGCTAACGTTACTGCATTTTTGTCCTACAAGGACGTTTGTTACAAATTCAAGTGGTATTAAAAATGAAAAGTTTCGATATACCTTACTGTGGAAAAAGTAATGTAGATGAAACTTTAAGACCCTCGAGAATATATAAGAAGAAGGGAGATGGCAGACTCAGATGACAGCGGAACATATTCTAGAATCAACTGGTGATCCTACTATATAATGGAGCGAAACAAAAATCGTCACCAAAGAAACTCATGAAAAAAATGGAAAACTCAAAGTATTCGCAGATATTCTTTTAGCAGGTAAAAAATGTATTTCAAATAGTTTTGTGAAAATGAATGGATCTTAGCTGATTGTCATTATTAGAAAATGAGGTTCAAAACGGAAATATGAAACTCAACTGAATTCCCGAAAAAAACATTCAGTATATGTATTCATGTAGACTGTCGCACATGACATCTGAGATAAATTACTTGATTGCAGTTATTTTTCTCTTTCTCTAGTATATGCGTATGATTGGTAGATGTCAACTGTTTTGTTCACTTGTGATACGGATGAAGTATTAGCAATGCAGAATAAAGAAGGAGAAGAATGATAAGGTTAGGTATAGATAACAGTGCGGCAAAAAACTCTTTCCTTTTCCGTTGTCATTGTCAGATGTAAAATAGCATGTATTGTAAGCAATTCAATATAATAAAATGAATGAAAACACTTTTGTCTTATTTCCATTTCATTTCATTTCAATGACCGGTTTCGGGTTTTATCTCAAGTTAGTTAGTTTTCATATGTGAAATTGGGATAAAATCCGGTCATACAAATAAAATGAGTAGTGGAAATTAGACAAAAGTGTTTTCATTCATTTCATTGAAGTGATCATGAATTTCTACAAAATGAACAGGTCATCAATTACACCAATTGAATATAGTTGAGTACGGGCTTGACAAAGTGACCTAAAAGTGTTCATCAGCAACCTGTGAAATTTTTAAATCAATGATGGAAATAAAACCTGAAATAACCGAATGCTCCTCTCATATTTTCATTTATCTGTCAAGCGAAAAACTAGTCGATGAATTCTTCAGCAACACCGAAGGAAAAATTGCGATCAACCAAGATATTTCAACGGCGTGAAGACTGATCAACCTCTAATGATAAACTGTCCATCAAAACCACATAGTATCCTTGAATCTGAAATACGCGGGCTGGGATTGAATTTGGTATCTTCAAATTGCTTCCTGAGAATCGGAATATCTAACCCCAACTATAAACATGCCCCAAGTTTCCGGAGACAAGTATATATTTCTCCGTTAGGTCACTCTAAATTACCTCCATCTATCATTTTATTCTTGGACCAAACACCATATCGTATATCTTACCTTAGATAATCAGTATTGTTTCAAATGTAGGCAAAGCGGACATTCAGCTGTCAACTGTCCAGGCATGAACAAAAATGAGTCCATTCCCAGCACGAACAATGAAGCCCTTTCAGAAACCATTATTGAAAACAGTACTGAACAAACAAATTCAAATATTGCAATGACATTAGAAACAACGAAAGAAAATCATCAACTGATTCGAACCGAACGAAACGAAATATTTCGAAAATTACGACATCTCCATCAAATTCTTTTGATCAAGAAAAGGAATTCCCAAAACCTACCCCATAGCAATGAATTGAAACAGTCAAAACCTTCACTAGTGAAAAATATCTAGAAAAATTATTGAGATCGGCCCAACCCAAGTTCCAAAACGAATCAGGAAAACATGTCTTGTCATAGGATGAAACAAAAGACTTTTTTGTAACCGTGTACAGATCATTGACCCTCTTAGCGTGTCACAAACATATACGTCAAACATAACGGGACTACTTGAATTATTACATAGCATATACCTCCTTCAGACGGAAAGAAAGATAAAACCAGATATATCAAAATTCTAAATAAGACTTCGAACTCCAGACATATTACTTTTATAAAACACAACGGAAATATCCTCACTTCCACACAAACAATTTTTGAAGCTTTTACGTCAACTTTCCATAACTATTTCAGTGATGAATATTGCTGGAGTTTTTTCCCAACACCAAATCGTCATTTTTATACTTCGACACGTGTTTCGATCACCAAGTGATCATCTTCAAGAGGAAGATAAAACAGTTTTATCTTCCTCTTGAAGATGATCACTTGGTGATCGAAACACGTGTCGAGGTGTAAAAATAACGATTTGGTGTTGGGAAAAAACTCCAGTAATATTCATTACTACACCAAAGGTTCCAAACAGTATATCACAAGAATATTTCAGTGATAACAATTATAGAGTTGAGTTCTTGAAATAAAAATCAGATTCCACCACTTTCAGTAGACGAGATGTTGAAAATCCAGATGACCTAATTAACTGTTCTATTTCACAACTCATTCCCCGAACCAGATGAAATTCCAATGATTTTTCTCAAAATTTCGCCTAAAAATGCCAAAGAACTGCTTGTCAAAATATATAACGTCATTTGGTGTCAACATTTCTTTCCTCGCATATGGTCTGAGACAGTAATCATTCCTATTTAAGAAACAGACAAACCTAAATCACATTCTGAGTCATAGAAGCCAGTGTTATTTGCGTGTAACATGTGTAAAACGATCAACACTTAATGATCTGGTAGATATTGAATCAGAAGTCCACGAATCTTTTGCGAATGATCAAAACTGAATCGCAATAATTATTGATATTTCAAGAGCATATGACACTGTATGGAGGCCTGCAATCATTAGTACACTAAAAAAATGTTTACTGAAAGGAAATACCCCGCAATTCATTGGAAACTTTTGATAGATCGTAACTTCCCAGTTCGCATGAACGTCTCTGTAACTCGTAACAGAATATATGGAAATGGATTACCGCAAGGTTCTAAATGTATTAATTTCTCTAATAAATTCATAAGAAATTCCCCTAAATTTCAGATCTATGAACATAATATTGAATACGTTGAGTATGTCAAATTTTCAGGATTGATATTTGATTAAAAGTTGAACCGGAAACTCTACGTCCAATATTTGAAAATGGTTCGTCAGAACAGACTTTATACCTTTTGAAGACCATTGCCCCAAACTGATCGGGTCCAAATTGGACTATAAAGCAATAGTAAACAAATCTGCCAGAAAATTCGTATTAGAAGAACTGCATACCATATACAACAACTCCATCAGAACTATCCTCGGAGCATTTTGCACAAGTCCAACGGAAAGCTTATGTTGTGAAGTAGCCAATGAAAGGAAGCTCTCACTTATGCAGCATCCAACGTGCCCAATCCAGGACACCCAGTGCCACACAATGTGATAGCACGGCGTTTCAAAATCACTTTTGCAATAAAGAAAAGAGCAGACCCTCCTTTTTACCAGAAATATAACCGGTATATTTCGAATTTCCTTCTCCAATAACCAGGTACATTCCTAATTTACAATATACCTAATCCTCCCCCTGGATAATCCCACCAGCCAACATTGAATACGGACTGCTACAATTTGATAAAAATAATACGAATCGCAGGATAATTACAGCACAATATTCACGCTATCTGAAGAGCAGTACATGGAGGAAAATGATAGTCCAAAATGCATAATTGTTACAGATTTGCTGAGCGCTCTCAAAGCAATGTCATAACTGTATACGAATCATCCCATATTGCTTCTCATGCAAAAGTATCTCCACACACTACACCAAAAAACATATTTTCATCCAGTTTATGGGGATTTCTTCACACATTGGCATAGTTGGAAATGAAAGATCTGACCAATTAGCCAAAGAAGACATTAATAACTCGGCATATATATGGACTTGAAATATTTTAACAAGAAAACGGTCAACAATAGTCGACTATCCCAATTGGATAGTAAATGATTCAGTCAGTATCTTTTTGGGAAAACACATTGTGCGTAATAGCACAATGTTTAGGTGACACGCTGATGGATATTGTGCAGGAAAAACCCACAGATTTTGCCATGTGGAAAAGTCTCGAAGATAAATATGATAAATTAGCTCGCAGTTTATTTTTAGCAATGCCAAAGTATTTGGAAACATTTGTGAGCATTTTGAAAAATAATTCGTCATCACATCTATGCTGAGAAAGGGAAAAAATCAGGTGAAATTTAAGGTTCTGAACCAAGGAACTCCCACAAATAATTCCGTTCACAATGCAAATAAAGATGGTTGCTTCAAATGTGGTAAGAAAGGCCATTTTGCAAAACATTGTTGGAAAAGACTTGGCAGAGGTAGCAAATATGAACAATTAT